TTTCAGTCCCGTACTGTCCAGCACACATTAGAAACAACGCAATTTTCAATAGGAAAAGGTTTAAAGCCAATTGTCGTCCCTCTACTTTAATATTTTATTCGTTCTTGTCCCTCTACTAAGGACATGTTCGTTGTCGTCCCTCTACTCTATCAAAGAGCCAAAACGTCGTCCCTCTACTTCGCTTTTTTTGTTCGTTGTCGTCCCTCCACTAACACCGTTCATGTTGCCATCATTGCTGACAGCTCATGTGTGGAAAAAAAAAAAAAGAACAAATGGGTTTAACTGCTGACCGTTTAGACTTAACAGTCAGCAGTGATGGCAACATGAACGGTGTTAGTGGAGGGACGACAACGAACAAAAAAAGCGAAGTAGAGGGACGACGTTTTGGCTCTTCGGTAGAGTAGAGGGACGACAATGAACATGTCCTTAGTAGAGGGACAAGAACGAATAAAATATTAAAGTAGAGGGACGACAATTGTCTTTAAACCACAGGAAAATCAATTAGAAAGTGTATAAAACGTGATACTCCTACTTCTCTACCCCTGCTTTCTAAGGGCAGTAGCGTGTCTACTAATTCTTTCATAGTGGCCGGTTGGAAATTATAATTAACCGAGTTTTTTTTAATGGCTGAGACTTATTTTTGCATTGTATATTTATACTTTATATTTTTATTTAGACTAAAAATTTATATATATAAATTTTATATAATATATTTATGTAATTTTTTATTTTTAATAATTAATATTTATTATGAATTTTTAAATAAAAAATAATTATATTTAATAAATATAATAAACAAATAAATCTTAATAATTAAAAATAAATAAATAATTAATTAAAATTTTATATAAATATAATATGTAAAATTTATATACAACTAGATTCACATTCTAAGTCTTTTATTTATATTTGAGTTTAAGATGAAAAATATATAGATAAAATTTTGATGATTCTTGACAAAACGACTATTAAACTAACTTTATATTGACTAAACTCCTGTGTAAAATCCTTTGTACTACTGGCAGAGTGTTTCGGTGAATTTATTTTAGTATTTTAATGAAATATTAGATAAACAATAAAATATTTTCAAAAAACAAAAAAGAAATAATACACATTTACATATTTTGTAATTTAAATTATAAAATAAAAATTAATAAATTAAGAGAGAATCTGTAATATCAATATTAAAAGATTATTTGTATTAATGTTATCTAATCTGATACAATATAAATTATGTAACACTTTTTCAAACAATAAATTAACCCCAATAAACTAACCTTTCATATTTAATAAAAATCTTTAAAAAGTGAGAGTATACAACCTGAACTCAGTGGCGGAGCCAGGGGCGCTCACCCTCTGAAATTTAAAAATTTTATAAATTAGTATATGAAAAATTTTGTAATTTTTTTTGAACTTTAAAAATTTTAATATTTTGCTCTTTTTGAAAAAAATTTCTGCCTCCGCCCCTGCCTGAACTGTTTTGAAATTTTTATCAAAAATAAAAATAAATAAATAAATACACTGATAACTGAATATATATCAAATACCTTAATTCGGGTTAAGATTTACATTTTTATTAAAATATTTATAATATTTTTTCCTCCACAAAAATTTTCATTATTCCAAAAAAAAAAAAAAATACAAGCTGGACTGAGAGAGTTGTTCTCTCAAAAGTGGATCTGTTAGGAGAAAAGTTTTCCACGAAAGGGACCCAGACAGGAACTCCTGCTGCGTTGCTTTTCCGGAGTTCTACCTCTCATCAATTTCCCCACCCCCAAAATCCCTTTTTTTTTAAAAAAAAAAGACAGAAAACTTTTACAGATATCTGAATTTTCTTGGGAACTGAAAAAGGAAAAAAAAACTCTAAATAATGAACAAGATTTCAATTCGTTTAAAATTTTCAAATGCTGCTTTATTCAAAGATGCTTCCATTCA